TTACAGCTATCCAGACTTCAACATCATTCATCTACGAGTGCACAGCTGATACCTGGTGAAGACAAAAGAGACACCGAAATACTCCGAACATAACCAACTTATATAGGTAAAACAAAAGTGAAGTGAATCCGTAACGAAACAAACGCATGATTACCAATTTGCACTAATGCCCACTCTACTCACACGCATATCCATTCAAATGAGTATATGAATTCCACTAAGCTCAGTACACAGTAATCAAGCAAAACCAGGGACAAAGAAAGAAAGAAAGAAAGAAAAAAAAGAGAGAGAGAGAGAGAGAGAAAAAGTTAGCTACCTTGCCAGACACTGATCTTGAGGGCTTCTTTGCTGAGCCCTCTAACATAGTTCCCCAGGTACCTCTGCAAGAGATACGCCACCTGATCCTCCAACATCTTGTCCGATCAAACAAACTCTCTCCTACTCAAAATCAGGTCTGTATCCTTATACAAAATTCGAACAACAATCACAGACATCCATTATCGCGCATACATATACTCGCGCGCATATGTTGACCTATTGTACTTGAGAAATAGCGCAAGGTCTACCCAATACTGGATATTAAGAAAGCGGTTTGTAAATGAAGCGAAGGACATTCGCGAATTTCGTGCGTGACAAGTGAGGCATTGGCCGTTTCGAGAGACGGACTTTTTCATTTATTGCAAAACGACACCTAAGCTTTTGCACAATTTAAAATGACACGTCGACACGTTGTGACCTGTGGGGTTATCCAGCGAACTGCGGTTAAGCTGCACGATTGCCTATACATCCAACACTCAAAAAATTTGATTTATTTTTAAACGAATCAATTTTTTAAATTAAATTTAACTAATTTTAACTCAACCTCAATATCATCAGTATTATCAATCAATTATTCTTATGCATTACATCAACTTTAATTCACTATTCATTACTCGTAGATTGTCACTTCACAATATCTCTCTGACTTTTACATTAAATTTATTTTAATTATTTTATTTAAAATATTATTTTAATATAAACTCAAAATTTTACTAAAAACTAATCATGTCACATTTTTCAAATTAACCAAACAAAATCAAAAAATCAAAACACAACCAAAATATTTTATATCCAAGCATACCTTTGTGGTTAACACTAAACAATAGAAGTTGATGCTTTAAATGCTTGGATATAATTTTATTTTTATTTTTTTGTTTTTTTTTTTAATTTTTTGGTTTGGTTTGGTCAATTTTGAAAAATTTAGTATAGTTAGCTGTTAGTGGAATTTTGAGTTTATATTAACGTAATATTCAAAATAAAATAATAAAAGTTAATTTAATGTAAAAGTAGAGAAGAAGTAATGTGAAGTGATGGTTAGTTAAAATTATGTGAGAGGATGAATAGTGAATTAGAGTTGATGTAATGTGTAAGAATAATTGAATGATATTATTAATATATATTAATAATATCGAGGATAATAGAGTTAAGTTAAATTGAATTAGATTTGGATTTAAAAAAAATGGTTACAATGATTGGATTTTTTTTGATTTTTTTTATATCTTGTATCCAAGCATCTACTGTAGCTGCATATTTAATGTCGATTACACTTGATTTCATCTTTAGAAGCTGGTGGATCACTGATTAGTCAAATAATAATAATCTACTGATTTAAATGTATAGCTTTTATTGTGAATCATCCATCCACTCAGTTTGTGTACTTAATGAATGCACTGACACACATTTTTCAAACAGTCTGACTGTGAAACAATAGAAAATCAATCTGAAATTTTTCAGAACCCACTAAAAAACTTCATTTCCTTTCCATGGAAGAAAATCATGAACCTGAATAACCTTAGATCGATCTTTGTGTACCACTTTGCCCGACTCAGCTTGTCGAAGAAGTCCAACGCATTAGGTTATATTTCAGGATTTATTTACTAAAAAAAAACTTTAAGAAAATCGGTGGACAAAAAAAAAAAAAGAAAAAAAGGAGTAGAAAAAAATAGAACACACGTATTCCAGGAATACGGTTTTCAAAATTTTAATTTTTCCAAAAAACGTATTCCGTGAATACGTTTTTATTTAACTGTTTTAATCAAAAAATAAAGAAGAAAAATAATAGAGAAGTGGTCTTCGGTTAACTAAAAACGGATTCGAGGAATACGTTTTTTAAAACGTATTCGATGAATACGTTTTACAAAATATTTTTATTTGATTATAAAACCGTATTCCTTGAATACGGTGTCATTTTTATTTTATATTATTTGTACAAAAACCGTATTTCAGAAATACGGTTTACTGAAGAAAAAAATAAAAAAAAAA